TCGGAGAATGTTGAATTGAAATCGGACAAGCTGAAGCTGCAGAAGGATAATCAAAGCTTGAAGCGCAAGTTGCGCGATCTCGAAAAACAGCTGAAAGACCAGCAGTCCGACAAGGAGTCGATGCTGAACCATGACCCCGAAGGTTCGGACGAGGAAGATCGTGATCCCGCGCAGGATGAGGAGATTCTTTTCCTGCGCGAGCGGGCAGAAACGTATGAACTGGAAATCGAGCGACTCCGTTCGGAAAGCATTGCCCGCGAAAGTGAGAAGAGACGACTGGCGGAGATGGTAAAATCCCTTAGTGACGGGCGACCCATGGGATCGGATGTTGGGGCCCGGGAGGAGAGGGTGAGTACTGGATTAGCCCCTTGTGCATTCCCGACGCTGATTGTTTGTTGCCGCAGGATATGTGGAAAGACATGTTGGAGGCCGAGACGGCGGCTCGCGAGCAGGCAGAAGAGGAAAATAAGCGGCTGCGCGAGGAGGCCCTGCGTTTGAAGAATGAGATGAACTTCCCCGTCGTCGCCGCGCGAGTTGGGCAACGCGACAGAATTGGCTCGATGGCTTCGTACTCTGCCGCGTCCGAACGAGATTTCAGCCGCGACCCCCATACTGCTAGCTCATCCAGCTCGACGCTGGTGATGGAGTTGGAACTGCTGAAGCAAGAGAACGCGGAGCTGAGGAAGGAGGTGAGCGCTCAGACCTCGATGCTCACGTCCCGGAACCGGGAGAAGGAGCGGTTATACCAGGAGATTGAAGAGCTCAAACTTGGTCAACGCCGGGATGGGACTCGATCGGTTGCCGGCGACAGCATTTTCGATCGCTCGGCGTCCCGGGCACATGGTCGACCCTCTTCGCGCGCCAGCGATGGCACGGGTCAATCCCCGAGCGACGATGCCGAACGCGAAGACCTTGAAACGCGCGTAGGCCAGCTGCGCGACCAGGTGTCGGCTTTGAAGCTCGAAAACCAATCCATCCGGGAGCAGCTGGACGAAGCCAACCAGGACTATGACTCGCTGGACAAGGCATATCAGGCCGACGTCGATGAGGCAGAAGAAGAGATATCGAACCTTCAACAAATGGTACAAAATCTCCGACAGGAGCGCGACCAGTCGTTACAGATAGCCGAAGAGCGCGACGAAGCATTTCAAAATATCCGCGCAGAAGCTCAGGAGGAGCTAGACGCCATGAGTGAAGCTCTGGAGCAGAAGGTAGAAGAGTGTCAGCGATTGAGCGAAGAAGTGCGTGTTCAGGACGAAAACCTTCGGGCACTCCAGGCGGAGATGCGCTCAGCCAGCGAGGGCATTATTCGGCTTGAGGAAGATGCACAGAACAATCTCCAGCGGTACAAGGCCGTCCAGCAGGAACTGGAGGATTGCAACCGAGAGATGGAGTCGCTGGAGAAGGATCTCTATGAGGCCAACACCAAAGTCCAGCGGCTCACCGTGCAAATTGAGTCGAGTCAGAATGAGATTGCGTTCCTCCGGGAGGAGCAAGACGGCGACAAAATCAAGATCGGAGATCTTGAATCAGAGCTCAAGTCCTACCAGCTAAGCCTGCAAAGCGAGCGCGACAAGACACGCGAACTCGAAGAACGCTTGGCGGAGGAACGGCACCAGCGTGAGGTTGTGGGCAGCAAAGAGAAGCAAGAGGTGCAGCGCATTGTCAACGAGCTGAACCGGGAGGCAACCACCGCCAAGGAGGAGAACCGCAAACTTAGGAAGAACCTGTCGGCGCAGGAGATTGAAGCCGCCACCTGGAAGGAGCGGTTGCTGGACTTGGAGAACAATCTACGTGAGACGCTGGGCGATCTGACTGGCAGTCGCTCTAGTCTAATTTCCAACATCATGAAGCTGCAGAAGGAGTTGGAATCGACAGCCTTGGAGCTCGAAAGCACGCGAGCCAAGCTGGACGACAAGGAGTCGCTTCTGCGCAATCGCGATGCTCTGCTGGAGAGTCATGGGCTGGAATCGCGCAAGCTGGCCGAGCTGCTCGACCGCGAGCGCCATGCCCGCCGTGCTGACAAGCAGTCGTTCGAGCAAGCTCTTAAATCCCACCACCAGGCCTCGCGCACCATTACGCAGAACAACTCGCGCATCTCGGAGCTGGAGAATGCGCGTAATCAGGATCGCAAGCGCTTCACGACTTTGGAGCAGCAGTTCCGCGACCAGCTGAGCGAGCGCAACGTGATGCTCCTGAACATCTGGAAACGCCTGTCAGCCATGTGCGGACCGGACTGGGCGCATTCGAACAGTTTGATCAACGGCAATCTCCCCAGCCAGGAGGTCATTGGCAACATCCTCTTCTGGCCCGGGTTCAGCCGCAACCTTCTGCTCGCTGTCAAGACCGTCGAAAGCGTGATCTCGGGCTTCAAGTCGCGCATCAAGGGTGTGGAACGGGACCTGACCAAACAGTACCAGATGCTGGAGCATACCTTCAGTCTGCGTGTCAAGAAGCTTGACCGCCTTGAGGAGTCCATGATGAACATGCGCGCACAACAGCACAGCCGGAACCAGTCCGGGATGTCACCCGAAATGGCGAAGCTCCGGGGTGAGAACCGACTCTTGAAGGCCGAGCTGAACCTGCTTCAGTCGCATTCGCGCAGCCGGGGACCCGCCTCTGCAGCTGTCTCCGCCGCCGCCGTCGGCATTGGATCCAACTCCCCGCGGTCACCGACGCGTGCGCTCAGCCTAGACCCTGGAGCCGATGCAGAACCAGGCTCTTTGATCCGTCATCATTCAGCAGTAGAGAAGCCTACCCCGTCGCGCGGTCTGTCACGGAGCGCCACCACTGGCATCCCCCAGCCCTCGCATTCGTCCTCGACGACTTCGACGGCGACACTCGCCAACGATGGACCAGGGGCGCTAGTGCAAGGTTCTCGCTCCCGACACATGTCCGCTGATCCGGGGAGCAATGAGAAGTGGATTCAGCGCTTGCATGAGCTGGAGAAGCGATTGAAGGCCGAACGGGAGGCCCGCCTTCTGGACCGAAGCGGCGCACGGCGGCGGCTGGAAGAGCGCGATGCGGAGAACCAGCGACTCCGCGCGCAGCTCGAGCGACAGCGTGTGCGCAAAGAGCTATCCGCGGGCACCTCGACCGATGAGGACGTGCGCGAGCATGGTCAACGGCGGCTCGAGGGGTCAGACCCGGGCATGAGTGACGGATACGATCGGCGTCGGGATGATGAGATGAGCTCGAGTGAAGGCGAGGGCATTTACGTTGACATTGAGGTTTGAGCCTAGCCTTGGGGGATGAAAGGACGGTCGTGGAGACGGTCGTGGGCCATGGTCGTTGGGCATATTGGGCGTTCCAGGGCAAGGCTTGCGTGTGCTATTCTTTTGAAGGATGTTCTAGTCCACCTTGTGTTCATAAGGGCTCTTTTGATGTTCTTATTATTGCATGTATCATATACCCTTCGGTTCATTCTTCGGTTCGTCTTCTTTCTTGGACATTTGCCGTGTGGGCATTGTGCATTGAACGCGTTGGTTAAGCCAGATAGCAATGGCACCGAGACACATGTACATAAACATGCAGGATGATTGTTTTGATTTTGGGCACAGCTAGCCGTAGGCTGCGTCTTCATCCGAAGTAATACAACAGTCTAGCAAGTAGGATATACACATCACGTCACACACATCATCACATCATAAAGATCCACCCACTACCGCAACGACACCTTCAAAGAGAAATCCACAATGCCGGTTCCCTGATGAATCGAGCTCGTCGACAAGATATCCACATCCGGACAAGCATAACGGGCAGCATTCGCCTCATTCAACCCACCACTAACCTCAATCAAGAACGCCTTCCCCTTCCCAGCCCACCCAGTCTTCAACTTCCGTGCCGCATCCCTGACCCCCTCCGGCGTGAAATTATCCAACATAATCACATCCGCGCCCGCCTCAATGGCCGCATCCGCCTCCTCCAAACTCCGACACTCGACCTCGACCTTCGTCGCGAAACCCCCGGCCGCCTTCGCCGCCTGCACGGCCCTCGGAATAGCCCGCACAATCGACCCCTCCTCCACAGCCGCCTTATCCCCGCCATCTTTCGCCGCCGAGTTATTCGCACACGCCCACACATGATTATCCTTCAACATGGTCATGGCGCTGAGATCATGTCGGTGAGGGTCCGCCCCGCCAACGAGAATACCGTATTTCTCGACGACTCGGAAGCCCGGGGTCGTTTTGCGCGTGCCGGCTAATGTGCCGGGCCAGTTGTGGCTGCGGAGGATGGATACTAGGGTGGAGGTCTTGGTTGCGATGCCGGAGCAGCGCGCGAGGATGTTAAGGGCGACGCGCTCGCCGAGTAGGATTTTGCGGATCGGACCGGTGACGGTCGCGCAGTGGGTTATAGGGACTATGGGGGTGGTTTCGGTGATGTGCCATGTTACTCTGGTTTCTTTAGTATGGAGGGTTTTTGGTGATTGGAGAGGGGGGGAGGGGGAGGGGGACGTACGAGCATCCAAGTTGGGAAAAGACTTCGTCGAAAAAGGGGACGCCTGCGAGGATGCCCTAGTTGTAACATATTGTGTTAGTATGGGTGTCTTTCTTTCTATAGATTGGGGGTGGTTACCTCGCTCTTTCCTAGTAACCGCGCCTCGCCTTCGGATTCCCCCACTACGAAGCCGCCATAGTCAAAGCTGGGACAGTCTTCTTCGAGCCAGTCGGCGATGAGACGCTTGTAGTTGCCTGGGAGAAGATGACGAAGGTCACCGTATTGGGATGCCATTGTTGGATGTAGTGATGCAGTTGTATATGTTGGTTGGGGTTGAAGGGTGTGTAGACTGATGATGGATATATGGAAGCTGGAGGATGAAACCGAACCCCACGCGGGGCACCTCGGAGTTTCGGAGCGTTGGATCGGGACCCTCCGGGTTGGGTTCGTGTCTCATGGTCATGTGATTTGTATACACAGGGAGTTAATCTTCATATTTAGGTATTGTGTATAGTGACAATTAACGATGGATGATACTTTACTGTAAATAATTATACGCTTTACATGATTCAAGGTGAAACTCGTCTTGTACCAGATACTCACAACCACATTAATAATGGGTGGAAGTATACTCCCGTCATTGGCATCCCCGAATGCAGCAGGCAAAGTAAGTATGAATACGAACACGAAGTCGACGACACATCCAACCCATGGACCAACTACCAGTGATACGTAACCTGTCTACTAAGCACAGCTACCGTGGCTAGACTGGGCCTTGCCATCGATCCGAGCACATAAAGTCTCAGAAGTCGTCGTGTTTACTGGACGGAAGGATTCAAGCTTTGACACGACAACCGGGGAGCTACAAAAATGTAAACATCTACTCAGCCTCCGCGATGGGTGTTGGCAATTTCCCTAGTAGGTTATAAATACGTTAATGCTGGCGTCATTATCTGACATCACTCGCAACCCCCTGTGGGCTCTGTTTAAACATTCTACTAAGATTAGTTTGCGACACGATGGATGTGCACTGCCTTGTTTGGTCTTGGGTGAACTACAGGCAGCACAATTTTAACGTATGGGGGTACACGGTACTTAGTTCAACCAGGGGGGAAAGGGCTGGGGGGTATTGGCAACAATGGTAAGGTATAGCTGTTATGAATGTATTACTGACAGTAAGTAAGTAAGTAAGTATTAGAGTAATAATAACACAGGGATAACTTCCAACATATGAAGCTGCTCTGGATAATAAGTAGTAAGAGCTACAACCCAACATAAGCAAACAAACAGTACTAACTATGAGTTAACTAGTTAGCTACCTATGTCAAAAAGAAATATGCACACAACTCAGCACCTGATCACCTTATGCAACTTGCTGCATGTGACACCAATGCATTTCATCTCATTCCATCCCACACACACACACACACCACACAACCCCCGACCTACTCCCTCCCACCTGCAAAGGCCATCATAAATCATTACTAGTTACTCCAGAACGTGAGGGGAATGCGCGGGGTAATTAGTAGTTAGAAAGGGGCTACTTTGTACATACTAACTGGACAAGGATGCCCGCAGCTCAACCCCCAGCTATTTTTCGAAGAAAGTGGTACAAACCCGTCACACAGACCAGCCACCTGGTTGCTTTTAATCTGTACCCATCCATAACTGAATATGTATCTGTACATGCATGGATATAAGGGGGTACGGAACAGATGATCATCACCTTTTCTCACCTGCTATCTCATGCATCTGATCGTGTGATAGTATTTATATTTTAGTGTTAGTGTGTTGAGCTGTGCTTGGCTTATTGTGTTGTGTTGTCTCTGCGCACGGTGTGGGTGTGGCCGGATATAGGACTCCAATTTGGGGTATGCTTCTACATATAAAAAAGGGGATGGGGTATGCAGGGGGTTTGATCTTGAAAAAATTGGAGAAATCTTTCAATATTATAATACTTTACTGGTGAGATCAAATTGACGAACAGATTATGGATACTCTCTCTCCTCCACTGGAGTTGAAGTAGTCAGTCAGTGCATGGCGTGGATGGTCAACTACAAAGTAATCACAGCATTCGTCCACACCAACACTAAATCCAGCATAAACTTATTCCTCCCTATAATTTTGCATTATATGGATATCCCCCCCCCTCCCCCTTCTAGCCCATAAACAACAATGATCACCATGCCAAGCTTCACCGGAAATCTGCTGTCGGTGCCCGAGAGCGAGAGAGAGCCCTGGTATTCTTACAGTATACGAAACATACCGTTCTGTTTTAATACTGTAAATAACCGATACATATACATACAGTATTTACCGGGTTTCGAAAGAAATCCGATACATGATGTAACTATGCATAAATTATGCATCCTGTTTAGGTCCTCATGAAATACTAACTCTACCCTAAGATATCGACCTGGAAACATAGATCGGACCTACGGTATATGAACCTTATACTATACACGCATACACAGTATAACATACTGATTCACCAAGGTTGACGCTCCCCCTAAACTTCTCCAGAGTTATTTCCGGTATCTTCATACCTACCGATAATCGAAACTTCATAACTGACCTGATTGATTACTGTGTACATCAAACGCTAGAACCCAATAGCGGGATTCCAGAAACGCTTGGCAGTAATCAGGAACCACCATTTCCCATGATGAGTGAATTTCCAGATGATCCCACTCAATACTATACCTCCAACCACCACAATTCAGTAGTATACTGTTTGATTCTTTCCCTGCATGGCTTGCTTGGCTCAAACTCAAGCTGCCGCCCCAATGCTGATTAATGCAACATCATCATTAGTAACCCCAGCCAGCCAGCCAGCCATGGAAACTTCCAGTCCGGGACGGAGACTTTTTTTTTACTTCTTCACTAGTGAGTCAAAGTACGTAGTAGACACACGGAGACTTTTCTTGTTAGAAACTAACTAACTAACTCATTAACTAACTAGTGTACGCACACGGAGAAGAAAGAACCACTGCGGATATTGCGGATATAACGGTCCAATCCAGGTGTCTCTATACCCGCAACCCACCTAGTTTTTTTTTTTTTCCTTGTCTTGACAAGGCTCGATCTGGTAATGTGTGTGGATCTCCACATGCAAACATCCACCCACCTGAGGCTTTTTCACTCCCATGCTGTTTGCTTCTGCTTCAGGTGGATCACCACCACCCCCGTTTCGTTTCAATCTGGACTTTGCTCGCTGCTCTGTAGACCCGCTTCGGATACATATCACGGGTGATAAGGGTAAATCGGCACGTCGTGATCATGTGATGCCATGGATAATCGGATGATTGCCAAGACATTTTACAGATCCAGGGAAAAAAAAATAATAATCGTCAAAAATTTTCTGGCTAGTAGCGGAATTAAAAGACGGAGAATTCCGTAGTCTAGATAGATAGATGTCCCTGCCCTCGGCGATGTACGTCCATGCCCATGCCGAGCCTAGGCACATAATAATCTCTCTCCACCGATCGGCCGTTCTTTGATTCACCATGGCATGACTCTTTCCCGGCAGTTTACCTCGGGTTCTCGTTGTAATTTTGGCTCTGTTTTGGTCTACTCCCTCCAGGCCTTATACACAATTGTGCTACCGTACTTCTTCCCCTTCGGGAGAATGACCGTGTGCCGCCATCCGGGCTCATTGACCGCATTGACAAACCGACTGGGTTCGATGCAGAACCCCGCAAATGGGCCCCGACTCGGTTTCCCGTCTGTCTCGGGTACGTCGATGCCTTGGCCCGTGTAGAATTGGAAGGCCGGCTCCGTGCTGTGCACTTGCAGGTGCAGACGCGTGTCTGGGTGCTGGAACTCGGCCAGTAGGCGGAGGGGCTCACCCCGTGTATCGAGGGGAACGCGGGACAGGTCGCGGTCCATAATGAAGACGTCGTCGAATTGGTTCTGCGGGCCGAAGGTGAATTCCTTGGTGACTTCGCTGGGGTAGGGCTCAATGGGGCCCAATGGGATGCCATTCTCTAAGGGTAGGTAGTCCTGTGTTGATAGTTTGGTGATGGTGCCTTCGGTGGTTGGGCCACCGTTGAGGTTGAAGTAGCTGTTTGAGATAATCAGTATCCTATCGCTCCAGTGATTTAGATTAAATGTGACAGACACACCTGTGGTTGGTCAAATTAACAACTGTCTCTTTGCACTCGTCGCCCACCAACTCAGCCTCGTATTCAATCTTCAGCACGGATGTAGTCTTGCCGTTCTCCACCTCCTCACTGGTGGTATAGTAGACCCTCAATTCTACTGTACCTGGGTATCCTGCCTCCCCATCACGACTCAGGTACGTATACAGCAGCGTAGTCTTTCCATCGCGGTTCAACACCGTCGGACCATCGAATTCGCAGCGACCCCATCCACGACTACCTCCGTGCAGCGCATTCGGAGGATCGTTCAGTTCGAGTTGATACTGCTGTCCATTGAGAGATTGAATAACACCGTCCTTGATGCGGTTAGCGACGCGTCCAATGTTCGCGCCGAACCAGGGTGAGTTGTGCTTCTCGTAGGCTTCTTTCGTGGTGAATCCCTGAACGATGTTTTGTCCGTCCACGTTGAATTCCTGGACGATGGCGCCGAGGGAGAGGAACTTGGCAGAGGTTTTGTCGCCCATTGTGACTGGCTATGCTGAATTTTTGCTTCCTTTCCTTTCTTTTCAGTAATGCAGACGTGTCTAGTGAGGGGCAATTGGAACTTTTAGAGAGCAAGGAGTAAGAAAGCAGTCGATATATGAAGAGGGGTGGTCACTCACTTTCCGCCCGCTACCCCGCAATTCTGCTCCAACTGGAGGAAAGCAACCAATACGGGTGGCTCACGCTGGAGAGCTTACGTCCTTTCAACCACTAGGATTGGTGCGACGATAAGGTAGATAGTCCCTTCTTCCTTGGAGGTTCATTTAAACTCGGTTAAATTTTCCAGGATCTCCATGCCTGAATGCCATTTTGCGCCTTGTTCTGTCTCATATTAGGCTAAACCGCACTTCGTAGCATGTGGTGAATTTGCCTAATCGGGTAATCTTCCGGATGGCTTGTGCCTCAGGCAGAAAGATGCCCATGTCAGTGTAGTTCGATCATTGCTGTGTCATGGCTTAAAAATGGACATGGCTTGAATTGTGGCTGGTCGGAGCTTCCATTCCATCGTATTAATAGTTTAATGCTTTGTACTATGGTTGTGTTCTAGACATGATTGAACTAGTCCCTTGGCCTGACTACCTGCCATTCCTTCCGGCGGGATACTGCTTACGCTATAAGAGGAAGAGCGTGGGATGGTTAGAGAGTGAATTAGTCGCGGCATCCCACTTCCTCATTCCCGCCCATTACACAAGGAATATTCGAGGTCCTATCGAGGTCCTACATCTAGCAAGAAATGGAGAGGGGGCTATCATCCAGCCCAGTAGACTACAGTGCACGCTCTCTTCCCCATCGCCGAAAGGGTCCCCGCAGAAATGATGGATATCTGACACAAAATGACTCATTCGGAAGGGCTTGCGAGATCCAACAAGTCTGACCGTTGAACGGCTGCAGGGACCAAGTTCCTAAATCCTTAATACTACAACTTAAGTTGATGGTTACTTAATAGTAAAGGTAGTCAAGTGCATAGGTGGAATTGCGTTACGAAATGGATCAAGACAAACAAGACAGGGAGACAAACCGTAAATAACCGTATGTCATGTCATACCATAACATACTGCCAACTAGTGCCGGATGACAATACGCCAAGTCCGAAACGTGGAGTTAAGGCGAACAACCGCTCCGAAGCTGACAAGAAGCTCCATCAGTCAAATCGAACTTACGGTCACTCAACTAATCAATTCAGACTGTAACTAACTGAAACCTCGGGTCGGTCTCCGCGGAGCTTGGGGCTTCCGTGCCGATTCCGTAAGCCGCTGATTCAGCGCTTTTAACCCAAGTGTGGAAGCGAAAACGAAATACTTCTTATTAGTCTGCAATCACAAGAAAACAAAGTATTGGAATAAGATAGGATAGTGTGAACCAAGTTTCATCTATAGTTGAGGCGATCGTTTCTTGGGTTCAACCCCTGAGAGTATTTTACTTACTGTGGCAATCATGCTCTTGCCACCTGGATAGCCCTATCTTGTACGGAGGTAATAGTAGCTCTTTGCTTTTTGATAATCCCGTCCCTACATACGGTAGTTGACTAGCACTTCGACCTAGCCACGGCAATTGAAGTAGATGCTACAATGCTTTTACTAGGCATTCATTTGCTCCCATACTTGCATTCGCAACTTGGCCGAATGGCATATGGACTATGGCATATGACCTCGTAAGAAGCACAGCACAAGAAATCGCGCGGCCCCCGGGGATCGCAAGAACCGTTGCATCGGCATTCGGCATTGCTAGAATGGACCCCTTATGTAGATAGATACTACACAGCACTGAGAAGTACCGGGAACCCCTATATCATGCATTGATAGACGGCCAAAGCAACGACATACCCGGGCCCCATGGCCATTAGAGTAACTCCGAGAGTTGTTCTCCGTAAGTCACTGAGTACTTTGTGCCAATAGGACAAGCACGAAAAGTCGTTTTTGTCGAAATCCTGATCTCAGCATGAGTTCAGGATTATAAATCCGTCGATCGGGCTGCCAGTCCTCAGCATGGTATAGTGGCTGAGCGGTCTAACCCCATATCAAAATGTCCACTTGACAACAACATTACCACACCCTGATGTGAGCGCTGCATGCAGATGTTCTGGGGAAGTGTGTGTTGGTGGCCCGCGATGACTACTGACTAGTCCACAGTAACTACTTAGTGGTAATGCAGTGACCTACTGACGGGCCCCCGGGGGTGCATTACCCGTTTGGGTGTCACTGGCCTTCCCAGTATTTGGATGATTATTGCCAGACAAGACAATTGCTTTGGAGTCTTGAAAGGGGGGCTGACTGGAGCCCATCCTTGCCCTACTCCGTAAACACATTGCAGTTAACCCTCACAGTCCAGTCCCTTCGGGAAGAGGGAACAGGAAATGGGGTTCTCCATTTTGGGGAACCAGTATCCATCACCTGGATCAGGAAGACGGAACGGAATTAGGGAGATGGGGACCGTGAAGAAAAGAACCTCGAGGAAAAGAGACAAAAAAAGAAGAAAAAAAAAAAAATCTTAAAAATCGTAGTCCTATACACGTGGAACAACAGGAGATGGACAGCTTCCATTGCCAGTAGAAAACCGCGTCGAATCCTCCGTAATCCGGAGGGAAATCAAGGTTCAGTCCCTTCCTGGCAAAGAGTGGGCGCATTCCGATGGGAACTCGGATGTCGAACCAGGTAAGCGATGCTGGTTACTCACTGGCACTGACACACGGTCGGGAGGTCGGCATTTCGGCCTGTGTGCTGGTCCGCCCGTGGCTGACCAGCAGAATCCACTCACTGTCTATCCACACAGCCAGATGAGGCAAAGACTCCATGGAAGGAAAGAAGAAACGGAAATCAAAGAGAGAAACGAACAGGAAAAGGCAGCAAAGAAACAAAAAAAACCTCTCTCTACCCCTTCCCAGTTCCCACTCTCTTACTCCCTCCCCACCAGCGGGTGTGTGGGCTGGGCTGGGCTCCGTTGTGCCAGACCCAAACATCAAATTGGGCTCCGTCGTATCGAGGGTGGAGACTTTTGGACCCTCTTCGTTTTCTCATGGGGGATCCATCGGCCAGGAAGGACTGGTTGTTCATGAATTTCTTGTTCAGCGATTAGGTACCCCCCGGCCCTCTTGACCATCACAGGGAATATTGTTGCAGGAGGGCAGTAGGGTTCACTCGACGTGTCACGATCTACCTCGTATCCCCATCGATGGCGCGTGAGTGGTCCAGCCAGTCTAGATGTGGCCGGAGATAAGCTAAAGCTGTCACCGGCCTTTAGAATTTGATTATCCATGACGTCCTCCATCACCGCATTAGTCACTCGTGGGAGGTTGGAACGTCATCTGGGCTTAACGAGCAGCAAAAAAAGGTTCCTGGCCTCGGCAGTCGGTCTCCGTTGGCCGATACGCCCTGCGCCCTAGGCCAAAGTTCGGCCACTTCTCGGACCAAGATTGAAGTAGATCAAGTCAATAAGAATAAAGAATAAATTGTATATTTTCAACGTCGGAGACATAAGAATGACATATAGAACATCCGAAACTAGAACCAGCATCGGCAAGTATCCACGCAAAAGGATCCAAATCGAGAGAAAACCAACCGCCCTACCTATTTCAAGAGCCCGTCCAATGTTTTGTGTGAACTCCAACTCCCAAAACACCTCGGCGCCTTCATCATCAGAAAAAAAAAATATAAGCCAAAATATAAGATAGAGGATGCTGTCCCCACAAGAAAAGAAAGGAAAAGAATGTGATGCCAGTCACCCAAAAGAATCCCACTGTACAGCTATCCAATTACCCTTCTAAATGAAGGTGGGTGCTGCCATATGTTCAAAGTAGTCCCAATGTCGAAATGTAGCATGTAGTAAATACACGCGTTACGTCGTACGGCGTATGCAAAACAAAATGTCAGACAAAAGAAAGACATTAATATGCTGAACTTCGTCGTATCGTAGTGATCTCAGGTCGATGCAATCTCGGGCGCATTGGCATTTAAGAACTGATTGATGTCTTCATAGTCACCCTTTGTGTCCATATACGACGAAGAGGAAAGCATGCAGCTCATCGGTAATTGACGGTTGAACATTGGCGAGGGAACCTGGTCGTCAAAGGACAAATTCGTATAATCGGAAGCGCCTATTAGATCCATATCGTCGAAAGCGCCAAAGTTATTGTTGGGCCATTGTTGCGGGGTCTGAAGGGCGAGGGGGTTCACCACCCCTTGCATGGTCATGGGCGCAACGAAGGCGGGATTCGTCGGTGCCATTTGAGGCTCTGATTTGATAGTGGGACCTTGCGTTTGGGACGGTGTGCTGAAGCTGGATTGTGTACTCGAGAGCTGGCGAGCAAACGGGTCTGAGAAGCGGGAGGGCATGATAGGTGACTGCGCGCTTTCTGAGCTACCATCGGATGACTCCTGGCGTTGCATGTGTCCGGAATTCTGCCTCCAGAGATCTTGCTGCATGGCCTCGGTGTTCTCTTCGAAGCGCTCACCCTTGGTCTGGTCCAAGGCGCCGAGTCGTGTAAGCAGATCGTGCGTTAGAGGATGGCCGTTGGGCTCGCATTTCAAGGGCTCTCCCGGCCAGCCTTCACCCTCCAAGGCGCGACGGTACATTTCTTGAAGGCCATTGACCAGCCACGTTTGTTGTTGTTCAAGCATCTCGACATATCTAAAAGGCGGCGGAGAGCCAGGTTAGCGATGATATAACATGTCGAATGGGTGCAAGCTCACCCCTTGGGGTACACTTTGTCGTGAGCCTTCTTCCTCTCGCCAAAGACACAGATGGCATTATCTGTCCTGCACCGACCACATGGGTTGGATCCGTCACACTGCACCGGGTCAGTGCATCAGGACAAGCTGATGCTTGAGCCATGGCTTGGCTTACCTTGGATTTCTTCAGTCTACACCGATCGCAAGCCTTACAGACCCTCTTGCGGACATTGCCGTCCGAATGTGAGTGGTCTGATGTAGGTGATGATTGGCGTGCCGTCATTGTGCGCATATATATATACTTATGGAGGTTGAAGGAGGTTTGGTTGCGGGTATTGAAAGGCAGATGTGGCCAGAGAAATCGAAAGAGTATCTTCCCAGTCAAACAAAAAGGTGAAGATTAAAAGAGTATCGAAAGCGCGAGTTCCAGTTCCGGTGGTTAGTTTTGTAGGTTAACTAGTCGGCTTTGCTTTTTTTTGTTTGTTTTCCTGTTCTTTCGAAATTCGTTTCCCTTTCTTTTTCTTATTGCTTTTCTTATGCCTTGTCCTCGCCTATACCTTTTTTTGTGGTGCGGTGTTGCAATGGTCAGTGATCGACAATACGTAAGATTGGTCGATGATATAACGAGGCCGGATGGATAAAGGTAAAAGAAGGTGTAATGAGCAGAGAAGGTTCAGAGGGTTCGAGCCAATGCGAGAGCTCGATCAAGACAACCGCATGTAATGATTAATGATCAAGTTGAACGGTTCCAAGGACGGGATAGCGTTACAGCGATCCACCGGTGGTTGGGCTAAAGGCAAGGTGCGTAGTAGAAGGTGTGGTAAAGAGGAAGTATATCTGGGGAGGGGAGAGAGAGGCCAGGCTTGACCAAACCAGGAGGGTCGAAGCTCTTTTAACTAGATATAGGGGAGGAGTAAGACGAGGGCGAGGTAAAGTCAGAGTGATGATGATTGATTATGATGATAATAATAATAATTGCTACTCCAGATGGGCCTGGATGATTATTTATTCGAATTAGTCTAGTCCCCATGGATTTCTTTTTTTCATTTTCTTATTTTTTTATTTTTGATTAAAAATAATAGTAAGGTTGGCGGTCCTTCACGTAGGAATGGTCGCCGTCTTACCTTGGGATTATTGACGCAGTCCAAAGGAACCAGAATGGATCGGGTCTGGCGGCGCTGGCCGATCATTGGCCAGCCGCTAGAGGTCTGGAGGTTTATGCAGTGGAGCCCTTTCCTCTGTACCGTATTGACCTCGTATTAGCTGTTCCCTCCAAACCTGCACCGTATCATTCATAACTTTTCCTGGTACTACTACATTGCTTACTTGCTTGCTGCCTGGCTGGCTATCGTCACACTTGTCCACTTCTTTGAGGGGACAGCGAAAAACCTTTTCCACATGAACCGGGTTAAATTCAAGGCACATATGAATTTTAAGATTTGATCCAATGTGGTGCTCCAAAGCTTCACCTGCCTCTGCAGCCACAGCGTGTCAATTCCCTGCCCATACTATAAGTTGGTAGGTACCTCAAGGTTAACTGAGGTAGCGCTTTCCATACTGTGTAACCATACGTCATAACCAATACGTGGACGGAACCCTGCACCGTTTGTATGTAAGGTATCTTACTTGATACCGAGGAACAAGTTGAACGGATAACGGAAGTAACCAGCCCAGACGGACGTGCTGATTGCCTGAATCGGCATCGGAGACTGCTTGACTCGGACCTCGGAGGTGCCAACTTCCTTTTCGTGCTTTAGGGAAATTTCCTCATTGAGATGGATTTCCTTTTTATTTCCCTCATGTAGAGAGGGGCCCCCAAATGATTGAAAAACCTCAATGGCCCACCTCAAGCCGTATATCCGATCGGGACTATGAACAGGTACCTTCAGTGTACGGGAATATCCCTTCATCCTACCGTAAGGTGTCTGCCTTGGCTAGTGAGGCCCTACTTGTGGACTACTACTACTGTTGGTTAAGTGGTGGAAAAGATCTTTTGAGGACGAAAATGAGGGGGGTGGGAATACGTGGTCAATCACGAGGGTGAACTTAGATAGGAGAGACTAGAGTGTAGGTAGCTATAGTTACTTCGCGGCCGATGTGCATTTTACCTGCACCAGCGTGGGTGATGTTAGAGACTCAATCTGAAGCAAGTTGTACCTTTTCCGATGTTCAGGTACATCCACAAGTAGCTCTAGTCTCAGAATGCGGTAATTCTGCGATTTGATGCAAACCAGCTTTGAGGGAATGACAGCCCAAGCTTGCATAGCCCGGCATTACGGCACAAGAATATCCACCCCGAATTTATTCGCATAATAAATAAATATATATATATTTTTTATTTCTCAAGCTGACCCAACTCGGCAAACTCATGCCGAACGGGAAGCTTTCGAAACCAGCATCCACTGTTCTGGTGCGGTATGTACTAAGATGTATGGACCACTGGGTGGTGGCTCCATAATGAAGATTATGAACATTACCTGACACTGACAGGGTCATTAACCCAGCTCAGGTCTCATTCCCCCTTCGACTCCATTCAAGTGCATCGTCAAAATCCCGATTCGGCGATCAAACACGGATTCCTTTCCCCGTCCGATATCTCTGATCGCTGCTATTCTCCTAGTCCCCTTCATAGTAGTACAAGACCTGTTGATCACCAGTCTTGGCGATTGGCGTTTTCCTTCGAAAGCTTAACGGCAGACCGGATTGATTCCAGTCCTTCTTTGCCACACTGCCTGCCGCCAGGTGGATGGAGCAGGGAATGCCGAATCCCGCGTTAATCCAATCGTCGGTTCCGATCATCGTTCGTGATCGGCTTTAGTTTGGGGTGATTCAATAGCCCGGTCAATAATTGTTTTCTTCCCAATTTACTTTTTCTATTGTGAAGCAGCAGCAGCAGCAGCTCCTCTCCACCACGAGGTGCCGTTGGAGCTATCCGCGCATGACAGTCAATGACGTTGATCATTTCTCCGATGGACCATGCCACTTGCACGGTCGCTGGTCTGATTCGATTGTTCCCCTGTCATTATTCCCCTCCAGCTTAAACCTGTTGTGACAACAGGACATGATTAATTCATTAAACCTAACAGGCTAGTTCAAATGTTTGTCTACTGCTCTCGAAGCCACTTCAACTTGCCGAGGTATTGTGCCCGTGTCCATAGCTGGTTTGACCGTCCGTAAGTGCCGCTGGTTCAGCTCAGGGATTGACTTCATGCTTGCACCACTGCATCGGGTGCTATAGAGTGGCAGATAAGGTTTCTGATCCTGCGATCAATGACCGCTGGACTATCCTCTTTGCATGTTGATCCATGCCCGTTTTCTATGATGTACCAATAGATGCTCCATCGAAACTGCCGACCATCGCTTAATTCCCGAAGCGGCTATACTACTCGGGATTGGACCTTGCACCTGGAGCATGATCAATGCTGGTTCTTGCTTTCAGGGGTCGCCGATTGCAGAGAATATTCTGCTGCCCATAGCCAAACATTGGTAGTCGATTACAGATCGCTGATACATGCTACTCTCTCGGGTCTAGACCATGCGATAGTGTGAAGCCCGCCAGCCATGATAGCGTCATCCCGCAGTGCTCTACCAATGTTGACCCCACCACTACCACTGCTGACATGGATGCACTCGACTCGGTTTTCCACTTCCGTCGGGATGCGGCAGGGATATCATGAGTGCCGTGAGAGGTTGCTGATAAGATAGAGCTATGCATTGTCTGTCCCTTGTCGACCGGATTGCAGGTTAGTCCTGCACAGGGGTGGTGGTGAGCAAGCTCGCCGGTGACCTCATTGTTGATTCATCTATGCTCCGCGCCCTGCTCTGCTCCTGTGACAGCCATAAAATTCATCTAGCGACTAGTGTCGTGTTTTGTCGAAACATGCCGATCTATCCGTCTACCTATGAATGACTCAACGTCAAGAAAGTAGATGATGGAACTTGCATTTGTAATGCATCAACAGGTTAACGATCAAGAATGAAGTCAGCTGGATAAGTAGTTTACAAAAGGGGGTATAATGTGGAATGTTAATACAAAGAAGGACGGACAACCGCGATAGGCAGACCTGCAGCCTAACAACAACTCATGCGCTTCCATATGCTTGCCTTTGCAGACTTGGATGGCTTGTTCTGCCCCGACCCAGGTGCCTCTGATCGGAGATGGCCCTTCTCGCCCGAATCCTGACGTGCACGTTTGTCTTTCCCAAAGAATCCACGAAGACCACTCTGTCGTTTCTGCGTGCGCTTCTGCGATTCTCCCTTGCCTTCCTTGCCAACAACCGTGTCGGCAGGGGTTTTCGCAGCTGTCGAAGACTCGCCAATATGAGCCGCTTGAGTGACCTCAGGACCCTTCTGGTAGTGTAGTCGGCGGGCCTCAACGACCCGACGGACTAGGACTGCGAGAGTGTCAGCTTCTGGCAAACGTATATGCCTGGCTCGATAGTGGTGAGAGGCTTACGAGCAAAGGTCTCCTCAATGTTGACCATCTCCCTAGCGCTGGTCTCCATGAAGCCGCAACCGTGTTTTCGGGCATACTCCAGGCCTTCACGGGAACTAATGACTCTGCTGTCTTTCAGATCGCACTTGTTCCCTGCGATGATCTTGACCGGAGGTGGCATGCCCACGTCGAGGCCCTCTGCGCTCGCTCCCAATTCCTTGCGCAAGCGATCATTGTCCTCGGCGCGTTGTTCGGTCTCGATCTCGATCATGTCCATGAAGTAGTCCAAGGCGCCTAAGCTCGACTTGTTGGTGATGTCGTACACGAGAAGAAACGCGTCGGATCTCAGATTGGAAGCGGCCCATAAGCCGCGATACTCCTCCTGGCCGGCCGTGTCGGTGATGGATAGGAAGTATGGCACGCCATCAACCACGCGTGTAACCGAATATGAATCCTCTGGTACGGTTCAACCAATTCGCTCGCATGTCAGTAATTGTGATACTGGAAATAGCTTAGAGCAAGACCAGCAAGGAGTATATACCGATGGTAGGGTCGTATCTACCACATTGCTTTGGGTTAGCATGACGGACACTCCTCGATCACATATGATGCTCAAGATTGATACGGCAAGACTTACTCATGTATCCACTGGCTCCGCACCAGGCGCAAGGTGATGGATGATTTTCCTGGCGGCCATCAGCGATAAGGTCTTCCCCTTGTAGCCCCGCAGTCCCTGCGCCGGGATGACGAAAGAACCATGAGGGTTCAAGAGATGGGGTTGCACAGCATACCGCATCCACCATCGCCGCAGATGGTGATAGAGATCTTGTCGGTGGCGTCGGCCATGGTGAGGGCGTGCGGGTAGATGGGTGTCGGGGATGCGCACGCGACGGCGGGTCCAGTAGTAACAAAAGAGAAGGAGAGAGACGAGGGCCAAAGGTTGTGTAACGAGCGAATTTTGACCCCGAAGCTAGTGGTTTAACCCGGTTTTCTCCTACACCAAATAGTGGGAGCTTGAGTGTATCCCTTCGCGGATAATTCAAGATCGCGTCAAGTAGATGAAGATGCGACAGGACCCGAGAGGGGCATTACAGGGGCAGCGGAGAGAGAGATCGGTAGAGTGGCCTGGCCCAACGGACAAAACACCGAGTTTGAAGATGGAAGTGAATTAATGGGGTATAAAAAAAAATGAACGAAGTCTATCTGGCAGAAGTTGCGACTCGAGTTTTTCAAGCACTGACTCGGAGTAAGGGGGAAAAGAATGGGGGAAAAGGATTCCCAACGTGGGCAAATCTCAGACGCTGACGGAGCGAAGCGCCGCCCCTTTGGGGGTCCATTTCGGTGATTGCGGATGGCCGATCACTGGGTGACGAAGATGGATGATGGGTGATTGATAAGGGAGGATAGGATAGATTAATATGTCATCGTGGACCAGGAGAATTGATTAGGAGAATTGATTGTTGATATCAAAAGACATCAAGATCAAGGGATGGATTGAACATTATGGAGACATATGCGAAGAGAGAGAAGAGAGGGTCACCGGTACCCCGACATGCTGCAGACGCGGGTTGGGTCGTGCGGTACCTGGTACCTGTTCTAGATAACATTTATAGTAAGTTGTCAAATAAAATATGGAGTATATCAACCATAGTATTTAAGTAGTTTTATTTATAACTTGGAGATTGTTATCGATTTCTCAATTACTATCTACTTGATCCCATTCCATATGCACAATTTCCACATCCAGAATCTCCCCGAAGACTGGTCCATCTGATGCCTCTAGTAACATTTTATCTTCGTCTTTCGTCCTCCTCTTTCTTCTTCTCCACATCCCTCTTTCTCTCTTCCTTAATTAACTTCTTTCGATCCATCACACCGACCAGCTTGACACATCATCCCGGAATCTTCTGGCCTCCCGGGGTCGACTGGCCCGCCCCGCCACTTGCCCGGCTGATTTGGCTGCTGCGATCCAATCGTTCATCTTTCTTTTCTCTTCCCTTCCACTTGGTACTTGGTGTGTGGATAGTACTTTAGTGCTCCTAACCAAGTACTGCTGCTGCTGCTGCACTGCGGCGAATACAATGCCCCATCTACGATTATTCCATTGTCTGGATGGTCTCTCTCTCCCCCATTCCCCTTTCTTAAATTCTCCGACCCTTGCGACAAAAGAAAAAGCAGTACTTGCCTTATATATTGGGGAGCAGCCGTAATATTGATTGATTTCGTGATATTAAGCCCCCCCGGCCGACCAGTGAACTTGCTAGTCGTTTCCACTCTTCGTCCGTCTCTTTTCAGCTGCTCTGGCTTTTCCCCTCTTTTATTTTTTTTTCCCCATCTCAGCGTGGATTCAATCTGTCCACGTCTGTCCACACCATCTTCCAATCGACCTCTACTGTTTTCCCTGGATTGATTTCCTACTATTCCGATAGGAGGGATTGGGGCTTGATTCGGGGCCTTGGGAGCAATTCTCGCCCCTCCCCTTGTTCAGATCGATTCCGGGGGATGGTTTGCGTGACTGTCTAAGGTTTACTCTGACCTGCTTCACATCAGCAGCCCATCTCGATGCGTCTTCCTCATTGGTCTCCTGCCGCCTCTCGATTCGATCGGACGTGAAGCTGCCAGTTCCAGGTTTGTTTGTTGCGGGCCATGGAAGGCTTCGACGATGCCTTCTATCAGGCACACTATTCCATGCCGGATCCCCAACTGGGCCCCGCCGCATCCTCTTCCTCCTACTCTAATGCTGCCCCCCATCCGGCTTCCTTGATGTCGTACAATCCCACTTCCGGCCACTTTCCTCCCGGTTCCTTTGCCTATCCGGCCCAACCCTCCGATCTGCTGGCTGCTGGCCTGCCCACGACCTTCGCGTCGCACCCAGATAACTTTTCTTTTCAGTCTCCGGTTCCTCATGCTCCTCCTCATCATCATGCTTCTCCCCACACGGCCAGTTTCCCGGGGCATGTTCCCCACGCCATGCACCCCTACCATCCCCTGTCGGCCGCCGCGCAGTCCATGCCAATGGGCATGGACCAAGGAACTGCCTTTCCGTACGACCCCGCCGTCTTTGGCGCTTCTATTGGACCACTAGATCCAAGTCTAGAGCAGCATTCAGCACCGCAGCATCCTCACTTACCTTCCCAGACCGTTCATCTGGATCCAGGCGCGGCGTACGCGGTCGCACAGATCCAGGAGTCCGCCACAAATACCTACTGGAATCAACAGACGACGACACAGGATGTCAGCGCCCAGGCACAGTCCGCAGGCCCGGCCCGCGGGCCATCTGGGGACTTCTCCCGCGCAAGAGGGCCATCCCAGGATCATCAACCGCTACCCCAAAGCCAACCCTCGGACTTTCAGTCCTATGCCCAACCGGCCAATCCAGCCGTTCCTCATCGCTTCATCCAGCCGAAGAGGTCATCCCCAGTGAAGGGTGGGTTCTCCTCCAATCCAAGTCGAACCTGACCGGAAAAGCTGATGCGGGTCTTCTACGTCCATGAAGCCTCCTTTCCACCCCAGGCTAAAGTGGAAGCTGAAAGCGACTCTCCATATGCTAGTATCTACTCGACAAGTGGCTTTGATATCATGGGGGTTCTGGTAGGTTGCATGCTGGTCGACCGCTTCCGCAGCAGCGTTTGAGTCCGGAAGAGGTACACTCTCTTCACATGTATGTGGCTGACCTCTATCCTATTAGGCCCAGGTGGTGTCCCGGCCGAACCCCAAGATCAACATCGGGGCAGTTGACTTGTCGTGCGCGTTTGTTCTTTGTGACATCACGCTGGAGGACCATCCGATCGTCTACGTCTCGGAGGCGTTCGAACGGCTTACGGGCTACACCAATCAGGAGATTGTCGGGCAGAATTGTCGGTTCCTCCAAGGGCCGGATGGGGTCGTTCAGCGGGGCATGCAGCGCAAGTTTGTCGACGAGAATACGGCCTATCGCCTGCGCTCAACGATAGAGGAGCGGACGGAAATCCAGGCAAGCATTATCAACTACCGCAAGGGCGGCCAGCCTTTTGTGAACCTCATCACGATGATTCCGATCCGATGGGGCGGCAGCGACTACCGTTTTTACGTTGGGTTTCAGGTGGACCTGGTCGAGACGCCCGATGCAGTGACGCGACGGAATCCGAGTACGTCCTTTATGTGGTTGGGTTGTTTTTTTGATGCTGCTAAGCTAACCATTTCTTTGCAGACGGAACGTACATGATCAACTATCAGCGCAGTCAGTTGCCGAGCTATGTGGTTCCGTCTGAAGTGTACCGCTCCAATCCGGATCTAGCTACGTTCTTTACTCCTGATCAGGTATCCACGGTGTTGGAAAGCCTGCACGGCAGCGGACCTTCGTACCGACATTACCTGGACCGGGTGCTGGTGGAGAACATGGACGATATCATCCACGTTCTATCTTTCGAGGGAGAGTTTCTATATCTGTCCCCCTCGTGTCAGAAGGTGCTGGAGTATGAGCCGGCTGAGCTGGTCGGAAAGGGCCTGTCAGCCGTATGCCATCCCAGCGATATCGGTTCAGTTATTCGTGATCTACGAGCCCGCATCACCACCGAGCCGGTCAGCGTGGTGTATCGCATCCGGAAGAAATACAGTGGATATATCTGGTTTGAGAGCCATGGATCATGGCACATTACCGACCGGGGGCGACAATTCATGGTGCTTGGAGGGCGAGCGCGTGCGGTGTACAATCTTGATCAGGTTGCTGCAATTGGCCGAGGCGGGTTGGCGGAGAATGACATCTGGGCCAAGCTTTCGATGTCGGGGATCGTCCTGTTCATCTCGTCAAAAGCTCGGCCGGTTTTGGGTCGTGTGGCGGACGATGTCATCGGAAAGAGCATCCAAGATCTCACAGGAGCAGATACCCGGGCCCAGGTCATGGCAGCGCTGGACACGGCTCGTTCGGGGCAACAGATCTCGTTTCTCCACAAGGTCCGCCACAAGAAGGGGCATATGCTGCCCGTGCAGACGACATTAATACCTGGCGACAGCAAAGAAGGGGAGCGACCTTCCTTCCTGGTCGCCCAGTTGCGTTTTCACCGGCCTTTGCCGAACGGCAGCCCGGACGACACTAGCTCCAGCTCCACGGAAACAGGGCGAGACGCCGTTGCTGGCCAGACAGGATCGGCCAGTCGGTTACCAGCCGGCAATCAGGAACTCATCCCTCTACGCGAGCGCAGCCTTTTCACCGAGCTAGCACCGACCAGAGGATCAAGCTGGCAGTTTGAGCTACGAGAACTGGAGAAGCAGAACCGCACATTGTCGGACGAGGTGCAACGACTCCTTACACGGCGGAAGAAGCGCAAGCGCAAACAGAGCACAATTATAGTGGAGAAGAGCTGCGCGATGTGTCGGACGAAGAGCACGCCAGAATGGCGACGCGGACCCAGCGGCAACCGCGACCTATGCAACAGCTGTGGCTTACGATGGGCGAAACAAGTCCGTAATGCCGCACAGGGACAGACTACCGCGGCCCGAGGAAAACGGTCGTGATGATATCCATGTTATATTACACACCCCCCCTCCCTTTTTTTTTTTTTTTTGGATTATATCTCTGTGGGATACGGGTGGCTTTCTACGTTTTAGTGTGTGGCTGTCTGACTTGAATGTGATTTGAAGTATATTGAGCATTTCAGGATATATGATATGATGATACCTTGTGGGGGTGCTTGCTGGATTGGGGGCCATAGGGAATGGCGTGACGAGTCACGATGGATGAATGGACGGATGGCGGCGTCGGGGAGGATTCTGAGGACTTGATCGGAGATGACCTGTACAGTGTATATTAGCTCTTCTTATATGCTATTTAGTATATCTAGTGACCGGGATTTATCGGTGATATGCCGGCAAGCCCTTTTAGCCTGTGGGCGCAAATTGACGAGTCAAAAGTGATCCATACATGGTTACTATCTTGATTTGATTAATGTACATATATGCATGCAGTCCATCCCCATCTATCCATATGATACACATAAGCAGTAAGTATACAGAGGGGTAGTATACATCCAACCCTAGTATTGCTAGTTACTGAGCAATCCACCTCTCCAACCACCTCCTCTCCTCCCTCTCCGCCTCCCATCCCTCTCTCACACCTCCAACTCCAACACCCACACCCCCCCTCTCCTCCACCGCAATGCGCACCTCCTCCCCCTCCATCTCAGCCACCCCCCCACCCCGTCGAATCAACTCATCATCACACTCTAAATATTCCGCATAGCGTCTCAACCTGCCCCGATACACCACCCCGACCAACCACGCGGGTCTCTCATACGACCTAGCCAATCCCAACGCCGCACAAGCCCGCAGCACCTCCCCGGCCTCAGCACCTTCAATCCACTTCCTATCAACCATGCGCTTCAACACACTCATCTCGTCCTTAGACCCCGTCTCCGGCGGCGTCACTGTTCCCGGGGAAACCAACGCATCGCGTTTCGCCCGCGCCCGCTTCTCCCGCTCCTTCTCTAGCTGTCGCGGAATCCGACACGTTAGGGGCGTGATGGCGTTGCCGAGAGCGAGCACAGCCAGCGGGGTGAGTTCCCCGCAAATGATCAGGATGAGTGAGAAGGGGATCATGCGACGGATGTCATGCGCGGAGCGGCGGAGGAGTTGGAAGTGGGAGCGGTGGAGGGAGTGAGTCTGTAGAGTCTGGTAGAATGGGATAGCATCCTTGGTGGTAGATGGTGGTGGTATAGAGCTCGGGACATATGGTGATAGGTTCAAGGTCCGGCGGAGAGGAATCGCGGCGCGGTAGTTGTGGTAAACGTTTTTTAGACCGGTTTTGTAGAAGGTCAGGTATGCGCGGCCGATGGTGATGTAGCGTTTTAGTTTGGCGGATGGGGGGAGGGGAGTGTTTGGGTCTTCTGGCGGCGGAGGGAGAGCGAGTGAGGCGGGTCGGGTGCTTGGGGGTGGGTTTAGAGAGGTGAGGATTGCTGTGGAGGTTGTTGTGGTGGTGGTGGCGGTAGTGGGTTGTGCGGCGGAGGAAGGGCGTGTGTGGGATTTGCTGTTGGATTTTGATTTGGAGTGCGAGGCGTAGGGGCGTACAGAGAGGAGGGTGTAGTTGTGGTGGTGAGGATGTTGGTGGATGAGGCGAGACGCGATGGCGGTGGTGAATTGGGGGGGATGGAGGAGGACCCGCGGGGGGTGCAGCGCGGATGGCATTGCGCTGGAGGAATTGGATGCCAATTGAGGGAGAGTTGTAGAGTAGAGAATGTGGTGGTGTGAATTGAATGGTAGGAAAGGTTGAAGAAGTTGGAGATGAAATGAGATCTGATGGGATTCCGGGGAGAGTGGTGTGGGTGCCTCAGGCATAGAGGGACTTGCTCGGATCCCCGCGGGGACCGATGTCAGTAGATCTATGCTAACTCTATATAGAACAAAGCTGGATGGATAGATTCCTATAGATTATGCTATTGTCAGGAGAGTAATACTTATTATCATCCACCAGTAGATGTTGTGTCAAGGCGAGTGCGATGCCGGACATATATATTCCTTCAATTTGAAAAGGCTCACTGGCAACACTCTGGGAAGCCAACATCAATTATGTAATTTAGAGATGTTATCATAGTATATAGCCGTAAACCCTATTCTATACTGCTATATTCAAGATAGTGACTCACGGTTACAATTAAGTTGACAACCATTTAAATATTAGTCCAATGACTCACCATCTCGCTAGCAGTACTCCATAACTAGTCTAGACCACTATATAAGCTACTACTATATAGAATACTTCGTTCCACCACCCTCATTGACTATCCTCCACCTCACAACCTCCCCCAACTTTCCACAACTACTATACCAAGCACAACCATGCCCCTAACATTCAACCACCCCACCGCCCTCCTCCTAATCGACAACCAAAACGGCTTCACCCACCCAACGCACTGGGGCCCGTCACGCTCGAACCCCAACTACGAGACAAACATCCAATCCCTCCTGACCACCTTCCGCAACACCCTCACATGTCCCACTGGATCTCCCACTCACCATGAAATAATCCACATCTTCCACTCCTCCACAACCTCCACCTCGCCCCTCCACCCAACCTACATCACTCCCACTGGAGAAAAAGGCATCGACCCTCTCCCTATCTGCACGCCACTCCCAACCGAGAAACAGATCTGGAAACATGTCAACTCGTCATTCATCGGCACGGAACTGGAAGAATATCTCCGCGAGAAGGGAATCAGACAATTGATTGTGGCCGGGTTGACTACGGATCATTGTGTGTCGACGACGGTGCGGATGGCGGCTAATTTGGGGGTTGTGGATCGACCAGTTAAAACTGGGGGTGAGGAGGTGGATAAAGGACGGATTGTTCTTGTTAGCGATGCGACTGCTACGTTTGCCAAGGGAGGGTGGGATGCTGAGACGGTGCATCAGGTGTCGGTTGCGAGTTTGGATGGCGAGTTTGCCGAGGTGGTTGGGGTGGGGGAGGTGGTGGGAGCATTGGAGGATTATTCTGCTTCGAGCTAGTAGGTAGATATATATATGTAGATATATAGAGGGTATTCTATGATGATGGTGTTGGTGTAGGTACTAGAATTATCCGGGTTGTTGACTGATTATTAAAATAGGCTTGTTACAACGCCACATCCACCGCAATCATACTCTCTGAGACGAATCCCGTCACAAACAATCTCGCCTTCTTCTGCTGCTGCTGCTCATCTGGCAACGGTACCAGCAGCGCCGCGCTGGCACTCCGGATGCGTGATCCGTCATCCTCAAAAAGCAGCCGCGTCTCCCATTCCGCGGGAGTAGTATCAGCCTTGCGCCGCGTATACCACACCATCACCCCGTCCTTGCCATTGGGATCCGTGCGCGTCTTCTCCAGGTCCACGCCGCGAAGCAGTCCACCCTGCACATATCCGCTGGCATCGTCTGTGGCCGTTGCGTACGGGTCCTGGTAGTAAGTGGGGTTGTCAATAGTGCTATCAAAGGCGAACTCATCCACAACCGACAGCGTGTGGTCATCCTGCGGCCGCATACGCCACATGTAGCCGCCCGCAGCGCTGGTGAGAAGCACTTCCTCGCGCGACGAGCCGTGTCCGAGACCGTTGGCGTTCCAAATATGCTCGAAGGCCACGGTTGCCTTGCGTTCCGTGTCAGCCGGGACCGCGGCGAGACTGTCGAGCTGGACGTGGATGACGGTGGACCATTTGGCGGCGGGGAGTATGTTCTCGACCGTGCGGAGAGCCCCGTCGCGGTAGCGGTGGTCGTTGGTGACGTAGAAGGAATGAGGACTTTCAGCGTAGATGTCGTTGGGGGTAATTATGAGTGGATGACGGATTGAGCGGACATGCCGGACGGTGCCGGAATGCAGGACATGGTGGAAGAGCTCGACCTGCGAGCGGGCCCTGGGGATGTCCTTGAGGCCGGGGTGATAGTCGGGGTTGGCGAGATGGTTAACGGCGAAGATGTAGACGGCGTCTGCGCGCTCCGGATCCTCGGTGACGTCGATGCCGTGGGTGATGAAGGGGCCGGAAAAGTTCTCAAATATGAGACGGGTGGACTTCAGTGTCTATCGAGCAGGTGAGTCTTCTGCTGGCTCATGACTATGGGTTACGCTAGGGGATACATACCTGCGGATCAATCACATGAATAGATCCCTTTGTGTCCGCAGGCCCATCAAAGTTGAGCAAGGGTGGAAACCACCGGAACCGGGGCACGATGGAGTCCTCGCAGGCTGTGAAGAGTTGACCGGCCGGTTGGTAGTAATGCAGGTCCTCACAGTGAATGGTATCAGCAATTGGGTGGACAGGGTTGCTCTGGGAGCTGGTCGTCTCGCTGGCGGAGCGAAACGCCCCTAGCACTTTGAGCTCGCGAGTCACTGGCCCATACAGCGAGGCGAACAGAACGGCGATGATCGCCAGGTTGATATAGCTTTTCATCGTGAGATACTGGATTAAGTCGGCATGTAGCTGGGGAGAAAAAGAAAAAGAGAAATCATAGAAGAGAAAAGAAAACAAGAACAAGGGAGGGGGGGAAAGTAAGGAATGAGCACGAAAAAAAAATAACAAAGCGGGGGAGCCGAGGATAGATGAACCGACCAAGTAGATGCATTGTAACTAGCATAAGCATCATCCACCACCACAACATAGAATGCGGGGATTGACGTTGACCAGCCTGTTGTCATTGGCGAACCAACAGCCGACCATCATCCACTGTGGACCGACCAGCTAGTCCAGCCAAAGACGCCAGTGAAGATCGTCGCGGTGATCATCCATGGGTCGGGGTTACGGTCCAGTTCTTAGTACGAGGTGAAAGGGAAGTGAAGTAAAGAGAAAATGAAATGAGAGCATACATTCAAGCCTAATGCCGAGCTTACAGCCAATTCATCCTTCCTAGGGTTTTCCTTCGCCCACACGCAAATCAAGCTTAAAAATCACACGCATATTAATTCATCCTGTCCGACTGAAAAAGAACTCCTTTGTTTCCCCGTCCAAGAAATCCGTAACTCATGGCTCGCTGTCTTCGCTCAGCGCTGAGACTTGGCCTCCAGATATTCCTGGTCACTGGCGTCCAAGATGTCGTACTCCTCGTCCGTCAGCATACCCGCATCTGTCTCGTCCTCGCCTAGCGTCAGACTCTCCATGTCATCAAACACATCCTGCTCCGATGCATTCGTCACCGACGGGGCGCTGGGAGCCGTGGTGGCGGCCTCATGTGTGCTGGCCTCCGGAGACTCCTTGGCCAGCTTGGGGAAGATCATCTGGCTCTCGGCGGGCTCAGATTGGGCCTCAGGCTGAGGCTCGATGGTCTTCTCCATCTCCGGTTCCGGTGCACTCACAGCGGGCGGCGGAACGTCATCACGCACGCGCACGTCACACCACAGCCGGTGACCAAAAGGCATGCCGTTGGGCAGCTTCAGCCGCCAGTACGAGATGGCGCTGCCCTGGCGGCTCGGGGTCCTGAGCGTCACAGTAAAGTCCGCACTGTGACCTGGCTCAAGCGGCTCCGAGAGCTTGTTGCTCTCCATGGCAGCCGAGATGGCATCCATGCTCAATGGGTGGCTGGTATTTACGTTGAACATCGAATCGCCACCGACGAACCGCACATCCGTACCCGCAGGCCAGCTCAATGGGCCAGGGTTGAAGAGGGTCCAGGTCTGCTGGAAAGCGGTGTTGGGCGGCAGCGTGGTGTCGTCCGGCACAGTGTCCCGGATGAAGAAGGCTTGATAGCCGGAGGCCGGGTCAGCTGATGTCGGCTGTTCGACCTGGACCGGCTGCTGTGCAACGGGAGTCGGCTGTTCCACCGGGGCAGGCTCCTGGACAGGCTCTGCTTCCGGCTTGGACTTCTCCAGAGCCGGTTCGACCGGAACGCTGGCTTGGGTAGAAGTGGATTTCTGGGCACGGTCGCCGAGGGCGCAAGTAGCTCCACGGTCTTCTTGAACAGTGCTGACGAAGACGTTGTGCACAGGTGTCTTCAGCATGACCATGGGATGAGTGCGGTTGTGCGTGTTGGTCGGGTGCACCTCACACTTAGCGCAGAAATCCGTGTCGTGACACACAGAGCACTTGTAGCGAGTTCCTGTGATGAAGCTAGGGCATGGCCTGTTCCTGCACAGAGGGCCGTCACAGTAGATGCCATAGTGCACCTCATAGCTTTGCAGGGGCTCGGCGATTGCATCATAAAGCGGCGCAAACCGATGACCCGGATGGTTTTGGGCTGCTTCCTGGTGACACTCGGAGCAGTAGTCCCAGTCTGGGCAGGTCAGACACTTGTGCCGGACGCCAATAATACGCTAAGATAACGGTTAGCATCAAAGCAGTCAAGTAGAACAGTTCACAACCAACCTTTTCACAACCGTCGCAGATAGCAGCGTGGTGATGGTGACGTCCAGGTTTGCAGCGAGATTGCACCAGGCTCTTCAAGCAGAATTGACGATCATGAATCAGCTTGAAGGTGTGGGCGGGGTGATGGCCGTGTGTGTCTCTGAGAAGACAAGTGATGCAGATATCATAATCATCGCAGTCAGCGCAGGAAACCATCTTGGTTTCATCGAGTTCTGTCGGAGTTAGTTGATGGTGATAAGTTCAATTGAGGGATAGAACATACCCTTCAGGCAATCATTGCAGATGCGTTCCTGAGTGCTCTCGGGAAGTTCGGGGGCAGCCACAGGAGGCACTGGAGTAGCCTCAGACACCAGCTCTGGCACGGACTCTTCGAAGGTCTCTTCTTCTTCCTCTTCTGGTTCAGGCTCCTCACGAGCCTTCCGGGGCTGAACTGTCTCAGTGGTGCTGTTGGTGACCTGGCCATCCTTGACAAGCCGCTTGATCAACCAGTGTTCGTCATCGAGACAAGCCACACCGGCCTCAACACACTGGAGACACAAGTCGTAGTCGCCGTCGTCACAGATGCTGCAGTGATAGTGCTCGTTCGGGATGGAGCGGCCACAGTGGTTGCAGTCAATGCAGAAGACTCCATTGGGCGATGCGTGCGACACCACTGGCATATCCAAGCTGTCCTGACCCAAGACAAATTCACGGAACTGAGGTTCAGTCGTCTCAGGGGCCGACCATTGGGCGGACCGAGACTCAGCAGGGATGGTGCCGCTGGCGACCTCGGGCAGAGCCGAGGCAGATAAGGACGCACTAGCAGGAACACTTTCAACTTGAGACTCAGGGAGAGGAGCACCCAAGACAGTCTCGAGGTAACTGTACCTTGACGCATTCTGTGGTTCGGGGAGGTCTGCCGCCAGCTGTGGCTGGGAGACGGGTTCCTCAGCCGTTGTGGCCTTGATCCGCAGCTTCAGTTTAGCCTTGGCAGCACGGTAGAGCTGCTTGTAGACAGCAGGGTTTTCGCTATCTAGCTGAATATAGCAGCCGGCGCTGTCGGAATAACGTTCGAAGATGACGTTAACATCTTCGGGAACGCCAAGGAGCTGGCGGAGCTGTTACAGATCAGAGACGTCAGCATGAATTCCCAAAAACGTTGCGACATTCCACCCCATATATTTTTTTTTTTTTTTTTCATTCCCTTGCACAGTATTTATTCCCAAGTTATACTTGATAACAAAAAAGTTTCTATCACATATATGGAGCAAGGAGGTGAGCACGTGAGAACACCTAGTGCATTGAGGGAATAAATGATGGGGGGGTGACTATGATTTTTGATGGGGGGGCCCAGGACCCGTAGCTCCGATCGGAGCTTGAGTGGGGACGAACATACATTCTGGGGAAGCGTGCGAGCTCCGAGCTCTCGTAGAGGAAGCTTGAAGCGTCGAGTATTTTCATTGTAGAGCACCTTGACGGTGATGAGGGAACTGGGGCCCACGGGGGCCGTTGCGGGCGCAGGAGAAGCCATGGTGTCCAGAAGGATGGTTGCTTCTTCCTTTTGCTCTGGCTTTAAATTTCCCTCTGGCGTGATTTAAGCAGGGATTCCGAGAGATAAGCAAAAAAGGACGCTAATTCGGGAGCGGTAAGCTAGGCGATGAATAGGTAGGAAGTAGGTAAGCCAGGGATAGATAACGGTGAAAGTGGTGTTTGTCCCCTTTGGAAGGTTAACGAGGAACCCGAATGGAAATCCCAGAGAGGATAGAGATGGGGTGTAGTTTTTAAACTAGTAGACTAAATAGAAGGAAGAGGGGGGGAAGGGTGGGATAATAATGAAGATGAGGGGGGGAGGAGGATGACCAGGTTGACGGTAAAAAGGGAGGAATAAGTAAAAAAGAAAAAAGAGGAGACGGAAGATCGGGAGAGGAGGATTGAGGATGGATGGATGGATGAGGAGAAATTGAGGAAGAGGGAGGGGGGGAAGAGGGAGAAGGAGAGATGAGGAGAGAGCGATCGAGTTCTTCCCAGCGGTAATTAAGAGAGGGAGAGAGAGACAGAGAGGCTGCCTGGAGGTCAGCTGCTGCTTCACTGCTGCATCCGGCCGAGGCGGTGAAGGTGCGCGGCCATTGGCGGATGCTAACAGCTTTGGTAACTGCTCCGTACTAAGCAGTAATTAGTTCGTTAGCAGTTAACACACTACGGAGTATGTACAATCATAGTTAAACTGCGTTTAGTTAGTACTGTGTAGTGACCTTCCCGGTACCTTGTCCGGCCCGTCGGTCGCGATGCCTCTTCCCCGTACTCTCATGTACATGATTTCTGACTTCTTAGTCCTCCTCCACCCACACCCTTCTTCTGCATCCTCGGTGGAGTCTTCCTGCTGCAGAATGAGGCATTGCTCTGTTGGCTACGTAGGTGCCTAAACCCTTCTTTCCCTGCCCTTCCCTTCCCACCTCGTCACCAACCCTCCTAAAGCACAGGCGCCATGATTTCATCACGACATGGATGTTCCCCTCATGCCACCGACACCACAATCCTTTTCCCCACAGCCTCAGATGCTGCTTGCTGATCAGGGTGCTTACGTCTGGGCCGTTAATCATCTATCCATCCATTCACACCCTCCTTCCCACTCCAAAATTTACTTCTGGATCATTTTTCCCCCCTACGAAGGATCGGCTATTACGGCTTCTTCTCCAGGCCTCCTACTTTTGTAGCCCGAGGAATTGACGCTCCTTGACGTGCTGCCTGACGTCACGTCACACCTTCGCAACCTTCCAGGCCCATCACCGGCCCCTTCGGTTCCCAACTGGAGGTCTAGTCTAGTCTTATCTGTCTACTTTGGTTTGACCGGTGCTTAGGACAACACAGCTCGACTGCAACTATTTTTGGGATCGTGTTTTTATTGCTTTTGTAGACAAGAGGACGCCACCCCACATACAACTCGGCCTCCTCCTCCGTGTCAATCAACTAATCTCAAAACGAGCGCAGTGAAACACACGCATACACACACACACACACACACACACACACACACACACACACACACACACACACACACACACACACACACACACACGCGCATGGCTCATCACAGACAGGGGGAGAGGGGAGGTGGAAGAGGAGGCACACCGCATTACGTTCATGGAAACCAAGATGCAGACAA